TAAATATTGGTAAAAATAAATAATTAATCAATTGTTTGATGGGTTTTTTTTACTTTTGCATGTGTTTTTAAGGGTTTTCAAAAATAATAATGTTCAATCATAAACAATTAAATATTATTATTTTATCTCTAAAAATTATTTTGGGTGTTATTATTTTGAAATTTAGAATGAAATTTTAATATTTTTTTATTTCGATTGGAGTAAGAATCGATTGCTTCAAGGTATGATAGATCATTTCTTCTCGATAGAAAATAATAAAATATTATTATTCTTTCATCCAAAATTTTGAAAAATATTATTTTAGGGGATCATAAATCAAATTAATTTTGAATTTATACATTTTATTACAAAGACAATTAATTAATCGACTAGGTACCGATTTAGGGCACTGTGGGGGTGCTAATCCTTCCCCACGTGTAACAGACTCCCGAACTCATTTTCTGGTAACACGGACCTAAATTTGTTGTTTTAATTAAAATTAATTTTTATTTAAAATGACAAAACGTTTTTGGGTGCCCAATCACACCTTAATCAAAGATTGGTGGCGACTCCTCGAACCGTATTTTTATCATAAAGGAATTTCCAAATTTTCGAAACGAGAGGTTTTTTAATCACATTCATTTTTAATTTAAATTTAATCTGAAGAGAATAATTAAAAATTGGTGTGGTTTCCAAAATCTCACCCGGGAAAAATCTGTTTCGACAGCTTCGCGACTCCGCTGGGGACTTTTTTTAGAGAGTCAGGCCGATAATTGATTAATTAATTGTCTTTGCAAATAAAAAATACAAGTTCGTTCTAATTTGGTTTTTGATCCCTTGTTTTGTTTTAAATAAGTTTTGTTTGCTTTTTGACTCTTAATTTGCTTAACCACTAAATAGTTGTATTGATCTGTTTGCTAATGTTGTCAGATTAAATAATTGTTCAGGGACTTGATTTTTATGTTTAGTGTTGTTTGCTTTGTTTCGCTTTTCCTCACACACTGCACAACTGCATTCGCATAACATGAGCTAAAACCCCGCTCCGTCCTATTTAAGTAGGAGAAAGTAACTAATCCCTCGTGTGGTTTTCACCTCCGTGCGGGATAGTGAAATGCTCCTTGGGCTCATGCCTTATGATCCTCGTGAGGTTTTCACCTCCGCAATGACATAAGGAAGTGTGTTCCCTCAAATTGAACTCAATCCGAAAGCCTGTGATGGGCCAGGATTGAGGGTTCGGTAGCCCAAGGGGGCACCGGCAAAGGACAATTCGAGGACCCTTTACTTTAGAACCGAACCCAGTATATAGTGAACATAGAGCCCAAATTTAGGTCGAGCCTGACTTGAAACTTAGGAGTCCCGTGAGGAGGGTACACAAGGAAAAGTTTTTGAGTCATTTATTTTCCCTTTTTGAATAAATGTATGCGAACTAGAAATCAGGCGGTTATGATTATTTTCCTGAACAAACATGTGAATTAGATATCATGCGGTTAGGATTTTTGTGAATAACAAAAGCATATGGGTAGAAATCATGACTGGGTAGGATCTACTAAAGCATGATTGGGTAGCTAACATGTAGGGTAGGTTTTATCGATAAATTGATTTATGTTTAGTCAATTCATTTATGATTACTGACCGATTTTCTTTCTTTTTGTTTACTTTATCCTCATCTTGCATTGCACTATTCATTTCATTGGTGTTGATCCATGACTGATGTCCATATAGAAGACTAGTATTATGGAACAAATGATTCAAAAAGTAGAGGACAATCCAGACGTCTTGATAAGGTCCGAGCAGTCTCAACTAACAAATGGAGACAGTTTATCACCAGGGTATATATCAGAGCTGAGAGGGTATACTCACATCAACGTTTGTCAGAATGATCTGAACGAACTGAAAGAGATTTGGGGAAGATGGGAAGCGTTCGATAAGCAATTGTTCTATCAACTCCATGGTGATATTTCATATCTCCTTGATATCCCGATTGATCGGAATTTGTTTAGAGCTCTAACTCAGTTTTGGAATCCCACTTATAGTTGTTTTACATTTGGCCGAGTAGACATGACACCTACTATAGAGGAGTATCGTGCCTTGATTCGCTGTCCGAGGTTCCAAGTAGACAAAGTATACACCAAACCCCCAAATACTCCTTCATTTAAGAAGAAACTTATTCTGATGACTGGCATGAGTGAAGAATGGGTTATGAGAGGCATAAAAAAAAAGGAGACCGCGAATGCATTACTTGGACCCTTATGAGAGATTTGATTGACTGTCATCCTGATCGAAGAAAAATGATTGACTTCTTTGCTCTAGGTATCTATGGATTGGTTATTTTCCCGAGAGTTCTCGGGCATATTGATGTATCAGTGGTAGACCTGTTCGAAAGATTGGATAGACATGTGGATCCAGTTCCAGCTATTCTGGTAGAAACATTTTGTTCCCTGAGCTCTTGCCGAAGAGAAGGGGAAGGACGATTCATAGGTTGTGCACCATTGTTGTTAACCTGGATCCTTAGTCATTTCAAACACGTCGAGAGAGTACCTGGTCGGGTCTTCTTAAATGGTTTTTCACCGTTGAAGGATTTCATTTCTCGGCAGTGGCCTGGGGGTTTTACTGAGGAAAAGTGGATGATCATTTTCAAAAGTATCCGAGACAGTGACATATTATGGTGTACCTCATGGAATGTCTCATCTGACATATTGTATCGATGTGGAGATAGAGATTGGGTTCCATTACCTGGTATTTGGGGATCTATAGGGTATGCCCCATTACTGGTTTCCCGACAATTTGGGTCGAGACAGTTTATTCCGGAAACAAGGGAGTTATCTAAGTCTGAGTTCGTATTCAGGGGAGAACTATATAAGAATAAAGTTAAAGGGGTCACTGATGCTTGGAGACACACCCATCGGGTAAATCTCTTTACTTTTGAGTCAAGGCTATCTCGAGGATACGAGGTGTGGAGAAGCAACCGAGTTAATGATAATATTCCAATAGGCAACCAAGAGAATATCCAATCTATAGAAGAACACCTTAGGGTGATCCCGTCTCCGCTCGAGCAAGCCAGGCTTGATTTTGAGGCAGAAAGGAAACAATGGAGAGTAACTTTGTAAAAGCTAGAAGATGAAGTGTATCAGAAAGGGTTGTAGATTGACATCCAAAAGAGTCGGGCTGATCGGATTAAAAAAGTGGAGAAGCAACTTAGATTGGATTTCAATGACCTCCAGTTATCACACCAGCGAATGATCAAAGATCAGGCATCTGCTAGCTCTAGTAAGTCTTCTACTGAATGGAGGCAAGAAGTGGCAGGACTGAAAAGAGAAGTCGGGGAAAGCAGTGAAGAACTCAAACGGAGTAGACATCAGGCCAAATTACTCTTGAGAGACAAAAATTCCCTTGAACAACAATTGCAAGAGAATCAGACCCAGAATGAGAAATTAAAGAATAGGGTCTTGAGCTTAGAGACTGTTTTGCAACGATATCGAAGTCGAGAAAGTAGTTCACATGCTGAAGTAGAAAGATTGACGAAGCGTGCGAATGAACTCGAGGCCTTAGTTCAAGATTTGCAAAGAAGAGCAAATGAACTTCCATTGGTCCCTTATGAAGGAGTTATACAATGGCGCTATCGTTGAGAGCAGGCTCAGCGGAGAGTTAAGCAAAGGGAGGATCTCATTGCAAGATACCTACAGCAAGCTCAATGAGTGGCTCAGTACTTGGTTGATCTATCATAGGAAGCTGATAATGTGATTGAAGAACTGGATCCAGAGGCAGAAGAAAACTAGAAGATAGTGGAATTACTGGGACATATCCAACAATTAGGAGAGATAGCTCTATTGTATCTGTGATCTGTTTAATCCTTGTAATTGAGCTTCGTTTCCTATATAAAAAGTTGTTCTAAGGAATCGTCCCAGAATCAACACCTTGTATTGCATTCATCTTGCATCTACATTGTATTTTCTTTTATGAATAACATTCTAATCACATTTTTCACACCTCATTAATAAAACACCATGATTAATAAAAATTATTGTGGTAGAATACTGGACACTTATAAGCATCCATACAACACACGAAAAAAGGTAATGGATGATAGAATTGTCAATATAGAGAAGGTTCAAGCTGAAATGCAAGAGAATTTAAAGAAAGCGTAAGAGGAAATGCGCGAACAGATAATGAAGGCTCAAGACGACATGATGGCAAAGTTGGTTAGTTTGCTACAGGGAAATAGTGTGGTCCAAGGAGAGGCTCCAGTTATCGGTCCTGCTGCTGAGGAACCTTTATATCCCCCTGGCTTCACACCACCGTATATCCACACACAACAAGCCACAACCATCCAATAAAAAAATACAAGTAAACCTACCTGGTTCTTCCACGAACCCACAACCAATTGAAGATGTCCCTGATTTGGATGAGGAAGACAAAAAAAACATGATAAGGAGATTAAGAAAGAATGTGAACAAATGAAGCATGAATTACGAGCTATGAAAGAATATGCTAGCTTATATGGAATTGACGCTAGAGAGTTAAGTCTGGTCCCTGATTTAGTGTTACCACCGAAGTTCAAAGTTCCAGACTTCGAGAAATTTGATGGCACCAGTTGTCTTTCTGCACACATTACCATGTTTTGCAGAAAAATGACAGGCTATGTGGGAAACGATCAGCTATTAATTCATTATTTTCAAGAGAGCCTGACAGGCTCATCAATCCGTTGGTACAATCAGCTAAGCCCAGCTCAGATTAAATCCTAGAAGGATTTGGCTAAGGCTTTTCTAGAGCAATATCAGCACGTAAAAGATGTGAGGCCGCATCGAATTATGTTACAGAGTATGGAAAAAAAATCCAATGAGAGTTTCAGGCATTATGCCCAAAGGTGGAGAGATGTGGCTGTACAAGTTCATCCACCATTAGAAGAGGAAGAAACCAATATGTTTTTTATAAATACTCTGAGGGCCCCGTTCTTTGGACATCTCATTGGAAATTCGTCCAAGAATTTTGCTGACATAGTTAATACAGGAGAAATGATCGAGATGGCGATCAAAAGCGAGAAGCTAGACGGGGGAGAATCTAGCCGAAAGCTTCCAGTGAGAAGAAAAGATAATGAGGTCAGTAATGTGAAGAAATATGATTCTAATAACATTACAGTATCTCGACCATCGGCCACTACGTCGTCAGCATTAAATCCTGTCCCGTAAGGAGTGAAAGAACCAAGACAGGAAAGAGAAAGGGTTCAATTTGACCCTATCCCCATGACCTATAAAGAATTATTCCAGATCCTGTATGACAAAAAAGTGGTGTCACCTTACCACACTTCTCCAATACAACCTCCTTACCCAAAATGGTTTGACATCAATGCTCAATGTGAGTATCATGCGGGTGCATCGGGGCATTCAATTGAAAATTATCTGGCCTTTAAAAAGTTGGTGCAGAGATTAAGAAAAAGAAATATCATCAATTTCGGTATAGTGAGCAGTCGAATGTGGCTCAGAACCCATTGCCGAACCATGCAGGGACAGGGGTTAATGTTGTTATTGAAGAAAGAGTGAACAAAGTCATAACCAAAGTCAATGAAGTGAAATCACCCATGCATTGGGTATGGGGGCAAATGGTCAAAATAGGTTGGTTGACCTTTAATGTTAACGGGAATAAGCATGCTTGCCCCTACCACCGTTGTGAGGATCATGTCATTCAAAATTGTGATGAGTTTAAGGCTTTGGTTCAAAGGCTGATGGATAATAAAGACATGGAATTTTACCATGAAGCTATGGAGGAGGAAGAGGTAGAGATTTGTGCTTCCGAGGGTACATCCAAAGCAGTCTACAATTCCAACTGCCCTCTGGTTATTATGCCGAAAGCCCGTACATTAGAGAATATAACCCCAAAAGTGATGATCATACCCCCGTCGTCCTTTCCCTATAAAGATAGCAAACAGGTCCCCTGGAGGTACGAGTGCCATCTAGGTGATGTTGGTGTTTCAAAGGGTGCCAAAGAATAGGTGGATGAGGTAGGCCACTTCACCAGAAGTGGGAGGTGTTATTCTCCTAATCCGACCAATGAACCCGAAAAAATAGCAACCCCGGATAAAGGAAAAAAGGTCGAGATACAGCTGAAAGATGATGAGCCAACAATTAATGAGCCTGTAACTGAGAACGAAGCTGTGGAGTTTTTAAAATTTTTGAAGCATAGCGAGTACAGCATTGTCGAGCAACTACACAAGTTGCCAGCTCGCATCTCAATCCTGGCTCTACTATTAAGCTCTGAGGCACATCGAAATGCCTTGATGAAAGTCTTGAATCAGACCTTTGTGCCAAAAGATGTGCCAGTAGAAAAAATAGACCGGTTGGTTGCAAATATTCAAGCAGACAATTTCATCTCTTTCTCTGATGATGAAATCCCGTCCGGAATGATGGGCAATCCTAAAGCCCTGCACATTACCATCAGGTGCAAGGGACATGTGTTATCGCGAGTACTAATCGACAATGGCTCTGCCCTGAATGTGATGCCATTAGTGACATTGAAAAAACTACCAGTTGATAGTACATACATAAGAAATTACCAAAGCATCGTTCGAGCTTTTGACGGAACAAAGAACGAGGTGCTGGGGAAGATTGATATTCCTTTAACCATTGGCCCATCAACCTATGAGGTCGAATTCCTTGTAATGGATATAATGCCTTCCTATAACTGCTTGTTAGGAAGGCCTTGGATCCATCAGGCAGGAGTTGTGCCATCCACTTTGCATCAGAAACTCAAATTTGTAATTGAGGGGAGACTGGTATGCCTTAATGCTGAGGAAGATATCATTGCTTCCATATCTACTACCGCTCCATATGTCGAAATAGATGAAGATGCGGTCGAGTGCTCTTTCAGAGCCTTGGAATTCATTAATGCCACCTTTGTTGCCGAAAGAAAGAAAATTCCGAAGCCTAGGCTATCCAATTGTACCAAAATGGAACTAAAAATGACTATGGGAAGAGGAGCCAAGGTTGGAAGAGGGCTGGGAAGCCGCCTACAAGGAAATATTAGTCCAGTTTTTCCTGGTATTAAGCGAGACCGTTTTGGTCTGGGATATCACCCGACCTTAAAGGAAAAGTTGAAAAATAATCAAAAGAGCCAGGAAATGAGGAAAGCCAGGTTAGCCGGGGAAGATATTAAGTGGGAACCCATGAATTTCCCATTGTTGCGTGACACCTTCATATCTGGGGGGTCATATGTTTCAGGGGAGTCGATCATCAAAAGAGTCTGTTATTGAAAATACCCTGAAGGATTTGGGCATAAATGTGATATCAGAGGAAGGAATCGAAGACGGAAGGGCTATGGGCATCTATCCCGCACCACCAGGCTTTGTGCTAAACAATTGGACTGCAGAATAATTACCTGTAGTTTACAAAACTATTTCAGAGTAATGCACAAAAACTTTCCCTATTGTTTAAACCCTGAGGCAATAGGTGATCTCTTGTAAGGGGTTAATCTATCTGTTTTTTTTTAATAAATGATGCATTCCTCTTAATTCACGAAATGGAAAATATCATCATTTCCATTATTTATTTATTTATTTATTTCTTTTTTATATATTATTATTTCATTCTATTTTGATATGGGATAGATTCTCCTGTATTTGTATATGTATATATCCTCTCGTTTGTTATTCTTTCAGGACCTTCGATATCAATAGTATGAATGCTGATGAGTCTGACCTGAAGATAGATTTCGAGTTGCCCATATGTCAAGGGGAAATTGAAGGTTATGATAGTGATGAGGGAAGCCACTTATCTTCTGAACTACTAAAAATGGTAGAAAGAGAAGATAAACAAATTATGCCTCATGAAGAGCCCATTGAGATCTTGAACCTAGGATCAGAGGAGGATAAAAAGGAGATAAAGATTGGCACCATCATATATGCTGAGGGACGACAAAATCTGATTCAGTTGCTTTGAGAGTACAGAGATGTGTTCGCTTGGTCGTATGAGGATATGCCAGGGTTAGATACTGAATTAGTGGTACATAAATTGCCAATAAAGCCTGAATGTAAACCGGTACAACAAAAGCTCAGAAGGATGCGACCCGAAATGTTACTTAAAATTAAAGAAGAAGTAAAGAAACAATTTGATGCTAGGTTCCTAAAAGTAGCCAAGTATCCGGAATGGGTAGCGAATGTTGTTCCAGTACCAAAAAAAGATGGAAAAGTTCGTATGTGTGTCGACTACAGAGATCTTAATCGGGCCAGTCCGAAAGATAATTTCCCTCTGCCACATATAGACACTCTGGTGGACAATACAACTGGAAACTTTCTATTTTCATTTATGGATGGGTTTTCAGGTTACAATCAAATAAAGATGCATCCAGATGATATGGAAAAAACTACATTTGTCACCATGTGAGGTACGTTCTGTTACAAGGTGATGCCATTCGGACTAAAGAATGCAGGGGCAACCTATCAAAGGGCCATGGTAACACTATTTCACGACATGATGCACAAGGAAATAGAGGTCTATGTCGATGATATGATTGTTAAAGCTAAAACGGAGGAAGAACACATCAAGAATCTGAGGAAACTCTTCCAAAGATTAAGGAGCTGCCAGTTAAAACTCAATCCAAGCAAGTGTACCTTCAGGGTAACATCGGGAAAACTCTTAGGGTTTGTAGTAAGCAAAAAAAGGATTGAAGTAGATCCTGACAAGGTCAAAGCTATTCAAAATTTACCACCCCCAAAAACACAAAAAGAAGTTCAAGGATTTCTGGGAAGATTAAACTACATTGCCCGATTTATTTCGCAATTAACTGAGAAGTGTGATCCCATTTTTCGCCTTCTCCGTAAAAATAACCCAGGGGTATGGAATGATGATTGCCAGGGAGCTTTTGAAGCAATAAAAGGATATTTGTCGAATGCTCCAGTATTAATGCCACCAATATCTAGCAAACCATTAATCCTCTACTTATCAATCTTTGAGAATTCAATGAGGTGCGTATTAGGGCAGCATGATCAAACTGAGAAAAGAGAAAGAGCAATTTACTACCTCAGCAAAAAGTTTACTGATTGCGAGACAAGGTACTCACCAATAAAAAAGTTGTGTTGTGCTTTAGTTTGGACTACCCGAAGGCTCAGACAATATATGTTGTATCACTCTACTTGGCTCATATCTAAACTTGATCCTCTGAAATATCTAATGGATGTACCTGCTTTATTTGGAAGATTGGCTCGTTGGCAAATCTTATTGTCGGAATTTGATATACAATATGTAAGCCAAAAAGCAGTTAAAGGAAGTGTTGTGGCCGATTTCATTGCAAGTAGGGTTTCTGAAGAGTATGAACCACTGAACTTCGATTTTCCAGACGAAGATTTAATGGTTATTTCAAAAGAGAATGCAGTTTCCTTTACTAATGAACAATGTAAGATGAATTTCGATGGTGCCTCTAATGCTTTAGGGAACGGGATTGGGGCAATTCTTATCTCACCTTGTGGAAAACACTATCCTTTCACCAGCCGATTGAATTTTGATTGCACAAATAACATGGCCGAATATGAATCATGTATTCTGGGTCTGAAAGCTGCCATTGAGCATAAAGTGAAAATACTCGAAGTATACGGAGATTCAGCCCTGGTAATTTATCAACTCAGAGGTGAATGGGAAACAAAAGATACGAAGTTAGTGGAATACCGGAAGTTGGTCTTAGAGCTTATTAAAGAATTCGAGAGGGTGATATTTCATTATCTCCCCAGAGAAGAGAATCAAATGGCGGATGCTCTGGCCACTTTGGCAGCAGCTTTCAAAGTCAATGAATATTCAAGCATGATGCCTATTACGATGGAAGCTTACGGGTATCCAGCCCATTGCTATAGCATAGAAGAGGAAGACGATGGAAATCCCTGGTATTACGATATCCTGCAATATATTAAAAATCAAAGCTACCCTAAGCATGCCATTGAGAATGACAAAAGAACTATTCGAAGAATGGCGGCAGGATATGTGCTTGATGGTGAGGTCTTGTACAAGAAAAGTCATGATCAAGTCTTGTTACGGTGTGTGGATGCCAAAGAAGCCAGAACAATCATTGAAGAGGTGCATGAAGGAGTATGTGGTACCCATGCTAATGGACATGTAATGGCTAAACAAATAATGAGATTTGGATATTATTGGTCAACTCTAGAAATTGATTGTATCAATTTCTCCAGAAAATGTCACAAATGCCAGATTTATGGAGATAAGCTCCACACCCCTCCTCATCCATTACATGTAATGACTGCTCCGTGGCCATTCTCTATGTGGGGCATGGATGTCATTGGGCAAATTTCACCCAAAGCTTCTAATGGCCATCGTTCCATATTTGTGGCAATAGACTATTTCACTAAGTGGGTAGAAGCGACATCCTATGCAAATGTCACTCAGTCAACAGTTTGCAAGTTCTTGAAGAGGGAAATTATTTGTCGGTATGGGCTACCAGAAAGGATTGCCACTGACAATGCCTTGAATTTAAATAATAAGATGATGGAGTCAGTATGTACACAATTCCAAATTAAACATCATAATTCCACCACTTATCGCCCAAAGATGAATGGAGCGGTAGAGGCAGCCAATAAGAACATCAAGAGGCTCATACAGAAAATGACTGATACTTATAGAGATTGGCATGAGAAGTTACCATTCGCTCTGTTTGCCTATCGAACTTGAGTGAGGACGTCTACTGGGGCAACTCCATTTTCTTTAGTTTATGGTATGGAGGCTATGTTACCCATCGTGGTTGAGATTCCGTCACTACGAGTGCTGTCAGAGGTTAAGTTAGATGAAGCAGAATGGGTGCAAGCTAGGTAAGATCAATTGAACCTGATTGAGGAAAAAAGATTAAAAGCTATCTGTCATGGGCAAATGTACCAGAAACGTATGATAAGGGCACATAATAAAAAGGTTCGTTCACGAGAGTTTCAAGAAGGAGACTTGGTGCTTAGAAAGATTTTGTCAATTCAGAAAGACTTTCGAGGAAAATGGATGCCAAATTGGGAAGGACCATATGTGGTAAAGAAGACCTTTTCTGGAGGTGCTTTGATCCTCGCCGAGATGGATGGACCAGAGTTACCTAACCCTGTGAATGCTGATGCAGTCAAGAACTATTTCGCCTGAAAAAAAAATGAAAAAGGAAAGAAAAAATAAGGAAAAAAGAAAAGAAAAATAAAAGAAGGGTTCAAGATGAAAACCTGTAAAGGGCGTCTTGAAACCAGAAAAGGTCTCATGTTGAAAACCCGTAAAGGTTGGCTTGAGAATTGTGTAAATTCAGAATTTGTGCATGGTGGAGGTTTTGAATTAGTTTTGAAGGCTTGATATGATAGTCATGGGTTAGGGTTGGAAATTGAAAAGCTTGGATAACAAGAAAGTAAACAAGACTCAAACGCTGGCTTATGATATCCAACAGTAGGGAATTTGGCAGTACAGGGGGAACTTCACACCCTTACGCATTACCACAATCCTCAAGATCCCCTTGACAGAAGCTACACTCAGATCTTTTTACGGCGTGCCAGTTCAAAAGCATTCGTATTATTGATGTCTGAGGACGCCTACTGTGTTTTTTTATTATTCCAGTTAAAGTTTACCATGTATTCATCCAAAAAATCTTTATTTATAAATAAAAAGATGTTTTTAACCACATTGCAAGCATACTTATTGAAAATAAAAACATGTAGATTAACTCTGGAAACATGAGGTCATTGTGCATTATTGTACAAAAAGTTTTGGAAAATACAGATATTCTGAAGCCGAAAATGGTTTTAGAATAAGGCTTATGCAATGTCATACCACAAGAAGTTAAAGCCTTGGGATATACTTGAATACTCAACAATGTGGGATAACCCAAGAGGTTTTATCACTGATTAAATAGCGGGTCATGATAAGCACATGGGTTCAAAGAGTAAAGAGAATCAGAGTCAAGCTTAACCAAAGAGTGTCTAATCAGGGTTATTGATTGAGATGGAATGTTGATTGATTTTTCGTGCCCAAATCAAACTGAAGGACAAGACCGTTAACAAAATAAAATTCTCGTTTGAAAAGAAAATACTTTAAAAATAAAAGCATCATTGCACACATTTTAGGCATAAACAGGACCATGACATAAAATGCATAATGATGTGTATTTGTAGAATCTCTTAAAAAGGACAAAGATGTAAAGACCCAACATAGAAATAACCAATTCAAATTTTCATGTTTTGTCGTGGCAAGACAAGCTTCCACAAGAAAAATATTTTCAAAAAAAAAATTATCATCC